TATATATATAATATATATATTTTAAAAATATTTTTTCCTTTTTTTTTTTGAGACAAAGTCTTGCTCTGTCGCCCAGGCTGGAGTGCAGTGATACAATCTCGGCTCACTGCACTCTCTGCCTCCCGTGTTCAAGTGATTCTCCTGCCTCAGTCTCCCAAGTAGCTGGGATTACAGGCACCCACCACCATGCCCGGCTAAATTTTGTATTTTTAGTAGGGATGGGGTTTCACCATGTTGGCCAGGTTGGTCTGGAACTCCTGACCTCAGGTGATCCACCTGCCTTGGTCTCCCAAAGTGCTGGGATTACAGGCATGAGCCACCACGCCTGATCTAAGTCTGATTTCTCTTAAACCTTTGCAGTCCTTACACAGAGTAGGCATTCAATAAAGGTTGTTTGACTTTTAAAAAGTCTAATATTGAATGATGAAATAAACGAACGATGTCGTTGACCCATCATATAGCTAAGCCAAATAGATCCTTAAAATAAAGTTTACTTTTAAGCTGAGAGCTTGCATTCTCACTAGTAATTCAAAATACAGCCTTCAAATACAGCTGGGCATTTCTATTTGGGGAATAGCTTGTGAAGCTCGGGAACAATGTTATATATTAATTCTCTGGGAATGCTTGGTATACAACCACCATACAGGTGTTTCCTGTTGAGACTCCAAGTTCCCATGCAAGAACTTAGAAGACAACTGAGAACAAAACTTAGCCTGCTTAATTATATCTGCCCAATGTGCTGCATAAAAAAGTCATTGACCAAAAATAACATGTTTAAGTAATGTTCAAGTTGAGATACAGAGCAGCAGCAGTCAGGAAATTCAAAATTAAATCTGATCTCCACCCTTCACTTGCCTCATTGTGCCCAGGCAGCACCAAGGTCAGAAATTAATTGGAGAAACTGCAAAACACATAGCCTGCAATATTTCAGCACAGTAAGGTCAAGGGGAAAATTTAGTTAAAACCTTATTACAGTAGTTTACAGAAACACATTACTGTGAATATGAAATTAGAGTCTTGGCTTGATGGATGTGTCACCTACCAGGGTAATTTGTTGGGAATAATTTGAAATGTAAGTGAACATAATTAAGCTTCTGTTTTATGGTAGTCTGGTCATTTGTCTCCAGGTGCACTTGTCTCTGTAGATTTGACACTACAGATGCCTAGAATATAATGAGACATGTTTCAGTCACTCATTTTTAAGTTAGTATTTGGGCATCTGTGGATTAAAAGAGGACCTTAGAGTTGACCATAAAGTTGCAGTTAATATTTTCATGCATAATTTTTTTTTCTGTAGAATCCTAAGTATAGGATAAAATCTCAAGGGTAAAATTACCTTGAAAGCCAGTGGAATACTACAATACTACAGTGAAGCCCTTAGTCAGACTTCCCTAAAATGAAGGAAGCCACACCTACCTGGAATTATAAATGACTACCTGATTATTAAGTATGTGAAGAAAAGTATTCTCTGGATTTTAGACCACCCTTTAGGTATATTAATACTTTTCTTTTAGAAGTCTTTGTAATTCTGGCCAAGTTTATCAATGTCTTCCTATTTATTTGAGACACTGCTGCTTAGTGTTAATTGCAGTATCTTCTTTAACTACAGAAAACAATATATCTTTTCCTTAAGAAGCTTAAGGAAAAGAGTAAAAGGGAAACAGTTGTAGAAAATCAGAGTATCAGAATTTGATTTCTTTCATACAACGTTTAGTCATCTATGATATACTAATTGAAGATTGTTATTTGATTTACACTAAAGATTCCAATTACGCCTACAAAGGTTGAAAGTGAAGATAAATATACCGTTAACTCGGAACAGCTGTTTCCTAAATCATTGTTATTTCTCTTTTCATTATAAAATTTAAACTAGAATAATTTATTTTGGGTTTAAATCACCTTTATTTATTTTTAATTATTCAAAATAAACATTGTCCCAAAAATAGATTTAGGTAACTTTTTTAAAGACATATTAATTGATATTCATATTTGTAATGTGTCTTTCAAAGTGAGATTGAACATTTCTAATACATTGTGCTCCAATTAGCAACTGTTCATGGATGTTGCAACTGCCTATATTATTTGGTATGGAAAAGATAAAATTAACCAGAAAAAGTACCATAAATTAAATATTCCTTTAAAAGTCAGATTAAGTAAGAAAATATATTTCATTGCTCTACAATATTTTTTAAAATACAGATAAACCTAAACTTGTTTCAGAATTAAATCTGTTGTTTAATTTCTACATCACATGTATGAATGAGTTTGACTACCGGGGTTGCTGTGTTTATTCTTTTCTCAAGAGATCTGGGAGAAGGGATCATTATGAGGTTGTGCCATGTTGCTAGGCAGACGGGTTCAGCATTCAGATATTCTAGCTGTTCTAGCGACTTTTCAGTTCTCTGACTTTCTCATTAAATTTTTGTCTACTGTCTTCTATACTTCTAAATAGCAGACACACACATAATGATAAATGTGTTATGGGAATGACTAGTTCCCTCTCTACCAGGGAATTACATAAGAACAATTCTGTATTCACCATTTTCAGGCACAAAAGCAGAATAAAAGCCTACCCCAGTGTGACCTGCTGCACAAAATACCTTTTGTTATCAACTTAAGTGCTCTTCTGAATCCTCAAACCACCCATTGACAGATTTTCTTTTTCCCACATACATAATTTATAAGTCATCTAATTAATTTTTCATACGTTAAACAACTGTTAATATTAGTTCCTGGCCTTCATGAATGGCAAAAATTAATTTTTTCCCTAAATGCATTTGCAGTGCCTTCTTCACTTTCTCCAATGCTATACAGAGCAGAGACTTGAATATTTGGAGCTTTAAGTTGAGGAGTGGTTTTAGAATTCAGTCTCTGGGCAGACAAAGGCTTTCACACTGTGAGCAAGTCTTAGCGGAAGATTGCTGAAGGGAAAATCCTGTACCACATGATATATCACTGACCACTGACCTTTCTCCTCTGTCCTTGTTACACAGAGAACTGAACCCCTTCTCTGTCTCCATTTATGAAGTATTTGACAATGACTGATAGTTTTGTGGTTTTCGTAGTTGCCATTGCATTAAAATGCAGTTGCTGTTACATGGAGTCTCAGAGAGCGACAGAGTAAATCTGAAAGGAGCAAGGAAAAAATAATACAAAACATTCATGTGTCAGAATACATCAAAACACACCATCTCAAATTATGAGTAACTCTTAAGTTTCTGGTACATAGCAGGAACGAGGAACAAGCATCGACTACAGAAAATAAAACTATTTGAAATACAAACTTGGGATGGTCTCCTGGCTCCTGGGTTGAAGGGGAGAGGTTAGATGTTAGACCACATTGAGAGACTTTGATGGCTTTTCTCTTCTCATTTGGGTCTGAGATAGGACTAAAATCCTCAGTTTGAGATCAGACAAGGGGCTAGTAACCTGATCCCAAGAGTTAAGTAGAAACCCACTCAAAAAGTGGTTAGAAAGTACAAGAAGACCTCAGCTCCTGCCTCTCCTCTCTAAAGTCACTAAATCCAATGGACACCCTAATGTGTCTCCTGAATCTGTTTGCTTCTTTCATACTCACAGCCACTACTCTAGTTTGGCCACTATAATCTCTTCCCTGGATTCATTCCATCACTAGTAACCTGACAGCCCATCTCTTCTTTCCCTACTCTCTTACATGAATAAACATCCTGCAGCACAAAACTGTGTCTCTATCCTGCTTAAAACCCTTTATTAGCTTTCCAGTGCTCCTAGGATGAAGACCAAAACCCTCCACGTGACTTATAAGGCTGTGTGTACTAACTCCTGTTCACACCTTGTTCCAGCAGTGAGAAAGTCTACACAAACCTACCTCCAACAGCCCAGGAGGCTGAGACACTGAAGAAAGAGACTGACAAACACAGTTTCTTAGAAATAAATATTTAATAGGGACATATGAACAGAAGCCACGTCTGCATCTCGGTTGACCATGAGACAAGATGTTGGATCTTCTCACTGTTACCTCGAATACTCAGGGTTTATAAACCATAGAGAAGGAACGTGTAGGATAATTGAACTGGACCCCTCAATGAAAGGCAAGAATGCTATGTTAATCTGCCTAAGGGCAGGATGTATGGTCAAGGTTGCTGTGACCTCAGGGCAAAATTTACAGTGACAGTAGATGAAGTAGAAATCTCAGAGGCATTCTCAGAATCAATGTTAATTAGAAGTCAACAGGGCAGATTTGCATCCAAGATGGAGTTGCTTTAGTCTTCACGCACTGTAGCCTGGATGTTCCACGTTGCCCTCAACCCCTGCTGTACTCTCTCCTAAGAAACCTCCTTCCTTGACTCTGCACCTGGACACCTTTTCATCAGCACCTGGGCTTTAATACAAACATAATTTCTTCAAGGAGATTTCTGACCTCTCAGTCTGGGTTACCTGCTTCTTCCATTACATGCTTCCTTATCATTGTTTGTGCTCTCTGTAGTGCGCTACATCATACTGCATTGTAATTGCTACTTTACTTGTTATTTGCCTGTTCTACCCATTACACCACAAAGAATTTAGTTTTCAAACCATTTGAAAGCAATACCTCCCCTTCCAGAGAAGGCTATAATGAATCAGGACATAAAACTCAAAGGCAAATTAAGTAATAGTAAAACATTGTTATTATCAACTTTTATCCATTGACATTCTTATATAAGAAAATATATTTGAATTTATCAGATTATCCCACTTCAGTTTTTCTGATTCTTAAACTTCTTTCACAATAATATGTAGTCTTATGAGTTCTCTGAAAAGTTTCTTATATCATTTCATATTTCTGAGTGGCATATGGTAAAGAAGTGGCCTTTAGTAAAGAAAACACAAACTATTTTGTTTTATATTCATTCATTAATAAAGATTCATTATAGGGCTTATTTTATAACTTTTGGACCTTTCAACACAGTTAAAGAAAATTCTGGACTTTTTCTATTTAAGTGATGCATGCTTATTGATTTTTTAAAAATTAGTTAAGAAGAAAGCATTACTTGTTGACTACACATTTTTGTTGAATTTTTTGGTTATATCACCTTTGTTTGAGGGACAAATATTTATTAAAGAAGATTGAAATTTATGTGTTATGACTTCAACAACACATAAATTATGGAAGCAGAAATTATTTACTAGAGCTAAAATAATTATCTGGGTATGTTTTTTAATGATAAAAGAATACAAGCAATGGTCTACACATTGCAAGTAAAGATCTGCTTCATTTTTCTCAAAATAAAAACCAAAATTGAAAATGACTTTCATTACACTTTCTGTTTGTAACATGAGTTTAAAATACTAGTGACATCTTGATGCCTGATAAGAGGATTTTGATTAGATGCATGAAATTTTCAGATTATAAAGATCATTATAAGCAACTGTTCAGAATGATTATATTTTATACTTTACACACACACACACGCACACATGCACGCACATCTGTTACTTTAACACAATGAAATTTACTTGACCTTTGTTATAGTCCAATGTATGTGTTCCTAGTCAGCCTGCCGTCTTCCATGTGGTTATTTGGGGACTCAGACTAGAGCCTAAGAATCCTCTGCCTATGGCTAGCAGATGAAGAAAAGAAACCAGACAATGTACATTGTCTATAAGTGAGAACAAGTTACACAGCCACACTTGACTGTAAGGGGTGCTGGGAAATGCAGTCCTGGCCTAGGTAGCTGCCTCTCAGTGACACGTTTGAAAGAAGACACACAAATATTTGGTAGACAGTTGCCATGTCTACTGCAAAGAGAGAAAGAGAGAGAAAGAGAAAGAGAGACAGAGAGAGAGAGGGAGAAAGACCATAAGCATGTACATATTTTTGATGTATAGTTAAAGGATGTGACTTTACTAGTAACAAGTTTGTGTCACTTCTTGATGATCTGATAGTACACCACAAATAATTTAGTTTTCAAAAAATCCTCCAGAAAACGATGTTGAAAGTACTTAATGTAAACTCCCCATACAAATGTGTCACACACCAAATTCTAACGTATTAGAGACACCCAGTGGGTGAACATGCACTGCCAAGTCGGCTTGTTTTGGAACATTTATTCCCTAGAAGTTTTTCCAACTACTATATAGTATATATTCCGTATCAAAATGATGTCATTGATTAGAATGTTGCTAGTTCTGCACTGGCTCTTTTAAAAATAATTTACCACCACACACATTCACTGACTTAAAACAGTGCTCACAAGAACATTACCACAACCCAGGTGCACATGATCAGTTAAATACTAATTATAACCCAGGCAGGTATATCTTTTCAGCTCACATTTGTATTTGTGCATTAGGAGGAGGACACCAATATCTCATAATTGCATGATACTGTATTTATTTTGTGTTAATTGGAGATTTGGGATGCTTTTTTATAAGAATGAATTTGAGCAAATATTAGATATTATTCATTATACAATGTTCCAGCTTAAGTCGTCAATGATTCTATATTGATACAGACAACAAATTTATGTGCTCTATGTCAGTTAGTCATGTAGCTTCCAGGTGTGTGCTGTCTTATTACAGGGAAGAGAAGCAGTAGGAACTAGGGCTGAAGATGCTTGTTTTCACACAGAAGAAAAGATCTGGTTTAACTCTCCAGACAGGACCCAGTTCCACCTCTTCTCTTTACATGAATGAATAACTGAAAGCCGGGGTTTTGCAGAGTTATCTTTGTATACCTCCGGTCACAGTGCCTGGGATGTCATACGCACATTAGTTTTCTAACAATGAGTTACAACTTACCACAACTTATTGGCTCACACCACTACCCACTCATTATCTCACACAGTTCTGTAGGTCAGAAGGAGGGAGAGATTCAACTGGGTTCTCTTCTTAGAGACTCACATGACCAAAATTAAGGTATCAGGCAAGCTGTCCTGTTATCTGGAAGCTCTGGAGAACAACACACCTCCAAACTCATTCAGGATGTGGGCCAAATTCAGTCCCTTGTGCTTGTAGGACTAACATTCCCATTTCCTTGCTGGCCTGTTTTCTTTGCCATGTGGCTCCCTCCATCTTCAAGCCAGCAGTAGTGCATCAAATCCTCACGTTTGCAATCTCTCTGACTTCCTCCTCCGCCACCAGGAGAAAACGCTCTGCTTTTAAAGAACCAGTGTGATTAGTTTAGGCACACCCAGTACTCTCTATTTTAATGTCAACAGATCAGTAACCTTATATCTGCAAAACACCTTTTGCCACATAGCATAACTTAATCAAAGGAGTAACACCACGTAACAAGGGGCATGGGAGTCATGATAGAATTCCACTTAGCACAGTAGAGGTAGGGTTTGTAACTCCTCCCACTGTAGTGCTTTGTAGTGGATATCACCTTGTGGACAAGGAAGAAATTCTTCCTGATGTCCAAGGTACAGGGGTATGCCTTATGTAGATTAGCACTACTGTCCCAAAGCAAGCATAATATTTCTCCTCTGCATCATACAGGGAACCTCCTACTCTCAGATTTATACTGTTGTACCTGGAGAAGCTTCCTGAGATAAGTTGACCTCTCTGTTCAATTCCTAGCACGTTTCTACTTAGGGATCAATTGGTCAAAATTCCTTATAAGTCTTCAAAACTTCTTTTCTTCTCTGTCTAAACACCTTCTTCCAGGTAATCTCAACCTGACCCCCAGTTTTAAATACAAGTATATACTGTGACTATACTATATAGTTCTGATTCCTTTTCTGAAATCTATTCCACCTTCTTGAGATGTCCACCTGGATATTTATAAGATATATAATCCTTCACTCTTATTTTCCACATGCCCTAAAACTGCTCTGAGCCTTCTCCAAACCAGTAATTGGCAATACCATCAACCTAACTTTTTAAGCCAAAAGCATGAGTCGTTCTCAATTTTTCTCTTTCTCTTCCTCTCATCAGAATTCCATCAGCAAGTCTTATCTATGCTATGTCGAAAATATGTTTCAAAACCATCTATTTCTAAATAATTGAATTACATTATCACTATTTTGCAACTGCTAATTTAGAGATCTGAGTGATGATTATCAACAATTGTTAACATCCCGGAAAGAGACACTCAGATATTGTGTGCCTCCTGATGGAAGGACATTTGGCAAAGAAAAGAAAAAAAAATTAAACCTGAATCCAAT